GAATCATTTATGAAAGCATGTGATTTATAGACTGTTACATAGGGTTAGACATTGCAAAATTTATTTTTATCAAAAATTTATTAGAACTACTATAGTCTACCTACATGATCAGTAAAGCTTTCTTTGTAAAATTTGATTGTAATATGCAGCCTTGTGCACCTCTTAAACAATCAAAAGATAAAATAATACATGACACAGATTGTTCATGGGTCAGTGACCAAAGCTTACAATGTAATTTAATCAATATTTCAGTGTCATAAAAAATGAAGAGTAAAAACAAATTTTTGCTCACCATCCTTTTATTAAAAAACTATTTCACCCATTCATATCTCATTTACTTAGTAAACCCTGCTGTGCAATTCTATTCTGTACAGTTTCCCAACACTTCTTAGCTCACAATGGATTTTACAGGAAATTTCAGCTACATTTTTTCTCTTTTTTCAATAATTTTTGTTCCTCTTCAAAAAAAAAAAAAGAAAAAAAAAAAAATCCTTTCATAGCTGATTTTGCTTGGAAATTACTGCTACACAATTCTGTTTAGGAAGATTTCCCACTATGATATTTATTTTGAACAGATTATTTTTTGTATCATCTATATGTCAATCCTCATTTGAATTTCTTAGACATTACATAAATTATGCCCCCTATCAAAAAGTAAGTAGACACATATTCCCCGCATGGATTGCACTTTGAAATGGTGTTCAAACAAAAGAAATTAACTGTCGGAAAATAAAGAGTATGCAAAATTGTTGTAATGGCTACCCATTGGTGGACAGGACCCTATCAACTTATTAATTTGTTCTGCTAGACACAGTTTGAGAAATTATTTAAGTACATGATAAACCCAAACTCAAACACAATAACCTACTTGTATCTATTTTGGTTTTTACCTGGTGAGGAACTCGTGACAAGTTTTAAATGTTATGTTTTCACCTTGAATATACTGTGACTGTGTTTTCATAAGTATGATGTTGAAGTACAGTGTTGTCCCACAGATACCCAGAAAATACCCCATCTATCCAGGCAGTCTATATCACCTGCCGCACACCTTTTGATGAAGTGGAAGTCTTTATTGATCAAATGATCAAAAGGTGAGTCTAAAGTCAAAACTGATAGTTTTATCCAAATGCTGTTGGAAATGACATGTACTACCATGCCATACCCACTGTGAGTTTAGTTTATTGACTGTATTTACACATGGCTCTACAAGTGTTTAGTCACCAAGAAGTCAATTAATAGTCCTGTCTTACCAGTTCACCATTATTAGTATGATTAAAAACTTAATTATCATTATGTCAACAAAAATAATAACATCATGGAAATTTATAGCATTATGAAAAAAATAATGATAAAAGTCAAGAAAGGGTTAATCAGGTGAAGTAACATTGCTGACTAATTGACTTTTTGGTGTCCAAGCACTTGTGAAGCCATATATGGGTACATTTTTCACAAAACCAAGCTACAATAGACATTATATTTTCCCATTAGGTTAAGGAATTTCAGCAAGCATATTGTCTTCTAATTGTCATAATCTGGAGATTTTGTTGCTGTTTTTCAGGTAAAATACTAATGGCAAGGAGGCAAGGTGAATCAGATTGCAACACATGTTATGAAACTATGAGGGTATCTACTTGCTACTTTTTTCCAGATCATATTATTTAATTGAATATTGTCTTACAACCACTCATGGTAATGTGCTTTTAGCTCATGTATAATCTTCATACAGCTAGATCTATAAAGCTATTATTTACATTGCAAAGTGTCCCCAATCAGCCTTTCTTTTGTTCCTGTAGGTTAATAGGGTTACTGTTTGCAAATAGCAACAGTATCAATCAGTAGTTTTAGCTTGAATTTCTATGAAAATAGAAATTCAAGCTAAAACTAACTGCATTCCAGGTATAGGGCATTCAGATCTTTAACCCAGTGCCTCTATGAAAATGTGATGCTCACTTTAGTCTTCTTTTGTGAAATGTCTCCACACGTAAATGGTTTCACAAGGAGTTTCACAAGGAAAATGTTTGTATTTACGAATTACTTCAATATTGATGCTGTTATTTTCATTGTAGCCATTATATTTATTACAACATCATTAATATTACTAATAGTAATATAAAACAAAGGATAATATTTCCAAGTCTAATAATTTGTGGAGCCATCTGTATGACTTGTAGAGTCAGCCTAGCAGCACAGGGTTAAGATATCACTGTTTTTCTACTCTTCAGGTATAACTTAACACTATGGAGGATAGAAGGACCTATCAAGAAAGGCCTCAAAGAACTGACAAAGAAGGAACCAAAAGTGAAGGCAGTGTTGATGGGCACCAGATGGACAGATCCCTACTCTAAAACACTCCAGCCATTCCAGGTAAATCTCTTAATTTTTGTGATTTGGAGGATGCATAGTCAAGACATTACTGATTTCACTTTAATGAACTTTAGAAACTGTATTATTATTATTATTATTATTATTATTATTATTATTATTATTATTATTATTATTATTATTATTATTATTATTATTATTATTATTATTATTATTATTACTGTTGTTGTTATTGTCATTGGTATTATTATTAATTATTATTAAATAGGTATGTAATATTGTTTCTTTGTTTTGATGGCCTCATATTTATCAATCAACAAAGTTTCAGCTAAAATTTGAAGATCTTGTTCAAGACTCTTGATATGTGACATTTTGTGGTTAGGTAATGTAAAAGTTATTTGTTAATACACAGTGAAATGAAACTTTAATGATCATGAAATGAGTGGTACATTTTTTTCTTCTTCTTCTTATCATGATGATGGCCTCATATGTAACAATTGAAAAAAAAAATTAAAGATATTGTTCAGACACTCTAAAAGTGATATTTTATGGATAGTTAATGTACTAAGTATTTGCAAATAGTTTTTTCTTTTCTTTTCTCCTTTTTACCTTTACTTTAACACTTTGAAAAAAAATATATATATATATTACTGTTCATATGGAAAAATTATTTACCATTATGCCTCAGATTTCTGTCTATGAATGTATCTGGAGAAAATAAGTTATTGTATTCTTTTTCACTCTCTTTATTGACCAAAAAAATAAACTTCTTCTTTTTGGGGGCTCACAGATGACTGACGAAGGTTGGCCTCAATTCATGCGAGTGTCTCCTATTCTGGATTGGAATTACCAGACAGTATGGACTTTCCTGAGAACACTATCTGTCCAATACTGCACCTTATATGATCATGGGTAAGTCATTCAGGAAGAAAATTATGTTTTTGCCATTAAGTTATAATTTTTGGTTGTCTATTTGAGCCTCCATAAGTTTTTGCATTCCAAAATTACATCTCAGATTTCATTTTCATTTTTATAAAATATAGATAAAATTTATGCAAATTATGATTCTAAATAACCATTTTCATTACCATACCAGCTGTATATAATTGTTCTGCAAGTTATCAATAATTTGCAGGTACACTTCACTCGGAGGAGTACATAACACGATCAAGAACCCACACCTGAAATACAGTGGTGAAGATAAAAAGGAACACTATTATCCTGCTTACTTCCTGAAAGACATGGCTTTAGAACGTGCTGGCAGGACATAGTAACAGGTGCGCTATTAACCCAATACCGCTGGGAAAATGTTGTGTTCACTTTCGTATTTTATTAAATGTTTCTACACATAGACTTAGCCACAAAGGAGTCTGTTAGTAGATCTTGTGACCTCACCTTCCCTTGAAATACCTGGAAATGTTTGTTTGTTTTTTGACTAATGCTATCAATACTGATACTTTTAATTTTTGTAATAAACATTATTATTATCATACTGTTATTGACATTACTAACAGCAGTATTGAATACTAGAAAATATTATCAAAAATCAAGGAAAAGGGTTAACAGGTGAGACAGGTTCTTCTTGTAACTGGCTAATTGGTGACCTAGTACTTGTGGAGCAGTCTATATGTAAAAACAATTACTAAATTAAACACACAGTGAACATTGCATGTCTGCACATATCCCTGTTGGCATGTGGTTAATCATCTATGTAATCAAATAGCTACAATCAGAGCCATGGACGTAGAACTACAGGCTTCCTTATTGTGAACAGAACAAAGGGAAAATTTGAAAACATACAGTTATGTTGAGGACCACTTTTCTGTATTGCTTCGTCAGGTAATACAGTGAAATGACCTTTGGCATATTCTTCATTTTCCAGGTTTTCCCTTCATTATTTTATTTACTATTTGTTCAACATGAATCCTTCACAGGCTTCCTTTTATACACATCCATGACTTTCTTTGATTATAATATTATGTAAATTTTCGTTTTTTTACTCAACACTTTAAAACACTGCATTTTAAAGTGTTGGGTAATGATCTAGAAGACTTACTAAAGAGTAACAATAAAGAATCCAGCAAAAAAGAGAAGAAAAATGAAAAAGAAAGGAAGCAAAAGAAAGGAAGACAAAAACATTTCAGGAGGAATAAATAGAATGAAAGAAAGAAAATATTAAGATTTAGAGTGTAAGTTTGTATCATTGCTTGTTTGCACAGTGGTGTAGGTTGGATTTGTTTATACTGTAAATATTTTAAGTCCTCCAAAATTTGGTTAGTTATAATATTGTAAATAAAAAGTAATGTCAGTCCATCATATGTATTTCTTTGAAAAGATCTATTTATTTTATTTCATCTAACAATAAATGCATACACATAATTTTTATAGTAAGATTCTTTTTGTAAATTATATAAATTAGTTATGATATTACCAGTAAATACCATTATATAATATACAATGAAATCACAGTAACTACGATTTCCTTGAGATCTTTTATTATGTTTTTAATCCCAGGTAGTTTGATTTTGAACTTTCTTTATGTTAAATGAATCATTGTCAGTACTTTGAAGAAAACTAACCATATGTTGCATACTGATAGAATCTTTACAGATTATAAGATACTTTTAGAGGTGACTAAATAATCGTGGAATTTACTTTGTGTTAAATTTTTCACAGTTGCAAGTTTTTGATGTTAGTTCTATATATTTTTGTGTTTGGTATTTAGTAAGGAAAAAAATATGTAGAAGTATCTAATATATAGTATATATATTTCATATCTTCAGGAATTGTTGCCACTTTGTCATATTTGAAATTCCAGTCAGCAGCATGGTTGCTGTTCACTCATTATCCATTTGGAGAAATATATTAAATTCAAACCATTAAGGTTATCTGAATATCATTGTACATGTTTTGTGATATTTCTAACAGATAAAAGTGTTGTCAATTATATGACATGAAAATCAATTGAGTTTCAAAGCAAGCATTCAAGTAGTTTTACATAAACAGCAAATTCCATGCATGTAGATATTCATGGCATTACAACTACAAGGAAATAATAATCATTCATTATCTGCAACCTTGTGAAACAACAGCTCCACTAGGATATTAAACATCTTGGTGATTTAAATTTGTGGTTACATCAGTTAATTTAGAATGAATTGTTACTTCACACCTGGGAAATAATGTGAAGAGTCTTCTCATTGCAAATTTTTATTGACTGTTACTTGGGAGTATTATGTAAATATTTGCTCCATTATTTTGAAATATGCAAAGTGAGCAATTTTTATGCAAAATAGACTAGGGTAAAGATATTCATCGAGGACCAACTTGGCAACTCACTATTATATCATTTGACAAGCTGTGGTATGTTCTGAAGGGTCTGTCCAAAGAAATTACATGTTTTATCATATTGAAATAGGAAGCTGCAGTCACAGGAGAGTGGAGCAAGCTGAGTCCAATAAATTTGCAAGAATGTATTGCAGTCACTTCTTTACCAACAAATTTGTTTCAGAAATAAGGGAAAGATTGATCGACTAATAATCCACTGGTGTTAGATAACAAGGTATGCAAACAAAACTTCTATTTTTAGGTTTGTGTAATACACTTAGATTACATTTGTGCATTCCAGGTGATTATTATTTTGGCACATATTACATTCTAATCAGTAACCAGGATGAAAGTGAAGAGGAATCAGAGAGGTACAAGGAGGTAGGAACTTTTTGTATAAAGAATGATATCTTAAAAATTATTGTTGACTTATAAAGAGAGGCATGTTCTTAGGAGGCAAGTGTATGACCCTTAAAGTTGGGGAATGAGATACTAATCTGATGGTCATGATTTAATAGGACATATAAGAAACTATTCATATTTACATTTTTCAGTAAGATTTTTTAATTGAGATTGCAGTACCTTGCTCTGCATTGTTCAGTACAAGTGTGTTTTTCTTTGTTATCAACATTTTTGACTATAGCTGGAATAGACAGGATAATAAAAATTTATAACAAAATTTTGGATTTATTTTCCATTTTTGAAATTTGTGGTCAATATGACCAAGAACACAAGTCCATTATTTATGTGTAGTCCTTGCACTACATGTCATTCCACATCACCGTGGCACCCTCGGCTTCAACCATTTTGTCTTTCTATCCCTTCCGTCTAGTGACTGCCAATTTCCCATCACACTAGCAACAGTCTATGACACTCAGTGTTTATTTAAATATTTTCCATCATATGCAATTTCCTCATTACAGTTTCTAATACCAAGACAACTCATAGCTGCTGCAGATGGAAGAGAGAGAAAGAAAGAAAAAAGAGAAAAAATAAATCTGCCCTGGAACTGATATACTGTATATATAAAATGAAGTGATAAAAAAAGATATGCTTTACTTTATATCCACTAAATGCCTTCTCTGTTTAGCAAAGTTGTGTGATCTGCAAAATCAAAACTCAGACTGGCATCCATTATAGCATTTGTTGGACAGGAAAAAATAAATGCTGAATACTAACAAGAAAAAATTCATGCACTTTATCCTGCATACACTAATGGGATTGAAAGAAAATTTAAATACCACTTAAAAGTATGATGAAATTCATCAACACTTATAAAAAAAAACATTTAAAAAAGTGATATTTTCTGCCCTAAGTTGGTTCTTGCCTTTTCATCTCACTTCTCCAAATATCCAGTAAGTTCTGGATAGATGAATGTAATGTGCTTTTGCATATTCTTTTCTTTTTGTTTAGAACTTCTATCACTTAAATTGCTCAGTTCTCAGACAAGATGGTACTCACTTTCAACAGCATACTTCTCTTTCACTACTAGATTGCATTTTGAAAGTATTTCAAGAAATCACACTTTCATTTCTTCATATTTATGTCACAGTTTTTGGTCACTGACAAAATATATATAGATAGCTATACATGTCTAAGAAGTCAAAGATTCAGCTCCCCCTTCTTCCTTTTTAGGCTTTTTTACACTGTCCGCCTGTGCTTCTTCATTGGTCTGAGAGCGTGAAGCTGCTACACGCCACTCCAGGGAATTGTACAGCAGGTCCACATCCTTGGGACTCCCCTGGGAAGGATAATCATAAAATATTATTCTATTTATAAATAACTAGAAGATAAACCAATCTCATGAGAGGAAGTTTAACATCAACAAAACAATTATTATCCAAACCACTGGTGGCTTACCATTGCAAGGAATATTTTAGGTTGACCATCTGCATCTAGTGCTGTGAACCTTACACTTTTGCTGCTGGCTCTTTCAACAGACATATCTGACCAAACCTGTTGATGAGAGGATATAAAATTATATTTCATATGTAATTTCAAATAAAGAAAATATCATAGACTCCAAATCAGTGTTTCACAATAATCAGATTCAAAAGTTTGCTTACTGTTCAATGAATTACCTTAGTGTTCAGCATGACTGTCAGTGTTCCTTGTGTTCGAATGACCAAACGGGAATGTATTTCTTGTCCAGCATCCCAGTCATTTAACCGAAGAATGCCACGACCTCGCTCTTGCCAAGATCCACTTACCCATGCATAAAGCTTGCAATTCATCTGTAAAAAAGAGTTGAGATTGAAATAAAAAAAATTATATACTATATATCTGAAAGGTTGCAAAGATTTTTTTTTTTTTTTTTCCTGTCCTCATGATGCAGAACCCCTAAAAGGGTGGGAAATGAATACTGAAAAATCTTTTCTGTGCAGAGGGCTTAACATTACTGATAATGTAAAATACTATTATTTCATTCACATATGACCTTATTGAGATGCCCACCTGCAATACATTAGACTCGCTCTCCTCCCCAGTGATGACCTCAACCTGGTCAAATTTGCGTTTCTGACTATTCTCCTTTTCCGTCAATTCCCTAGATGATTCTGCCAGTGATTGCCTGCTGTTCCACAAACTATCTTCTCTTGGCTGAAAGGAAGGCTATGAAATCAGTAATAAAATCTATCTTCAAAGGCTGAATACATTACCTTACCAAAATATATAACAAGGTGTATATGCTCTGTGCAACCAAAATCATAGCAAAAACACCTGTCAAATTCTCTGGTGACAACAAAGTGTATAAACATACCAGCGATATTTCAGAGGCCGCATCAGAAAACAGATTCCCAGTAGTCATTCTCCCATTTGTTGCAGCTGATTCGGGTACCTATAGAAAGAGGCAAAAACTGTTAAAAAATCTATAACACACTGGTGAATACCTTCTACATGTTAATATCATTCCTTCTTGAATAGCAAAAATAATCCCACAATTCAGAATTCCTAATATCACAGAACACCAATTAATTCAGAAAATCAAAGAAAAAGCACAAACTTACACGTGATATTTCAGAAGCTGCATCTGAAAAGAGGTTTCCTGTCTGGTTCTCCCCATTGGTGGTGGCAGCCGAGTCTGAGGATGATGTGACTGAACTGTCTCCTGCCTGAAGAGAGAACATGTTTTCTGAAAACTCACACAAAAACCTTCGTAATTTGAAGGCAAAATGGATAACGAGAATGATACTGATGCTTAGCAGGAAGGTGGCAATGAGAATGACCATGATGGTGATAAGGATGCAGTGGAGAACAGAGGAAGAGGAAAATCAAAGTATGCTTGGGAAAAGAGAGCTACAACACAAAATATGCAGGAAAAAAAAGAGAGGAAAGGCAGGATACAAGACAACTGTCAAGATAGGACTGGTAAGGATACTAAAATAGAATTAGCTACAGAACGGAAGAAATTAGTATTTGGAAAACAAATACAAAACTAAGCAGCAACACAAGCTTAGTATTATTCTCTGAACCTCCATTCCTTTGTTTTATTTAAGATACTTTTGCAAACTCACAATCACCTGACAACCTTTTTATTTTATTTTTGTCAAACCCATTCTAGCTGATATATCAACTTCTGAACATAAATTCTAACTAAAACCTTTAGTATTATCATTCAAACAGCCTCAAATTATGTGTAGTTTACAATGACATACACACACCAGCTGAAAAGAAGAATGCACTGGAATGAGGACTCAAGACTATTCTATAACAAGTCAACACTTCTCCTAAGAAGCCTCAAAGGTGCACAAGAGAGAAGACCCATCTCAATCTACAGAAATGGGAGACTACTGCCCACACACAGACTGGGCTCCTAGACAGTGGAGAGTAAAGGAAGGGAATGAAGAGAAAGGGGGGGGGGATGCCAGGCATTACACTCTTTATGATACTCAAGCAAAATATACAATAATGAGGACGAAGGATCAGTGAGTGACCAACTCGCACTGTCTGTCAGTGCTAATCGTACCTCAGTCTGAGCTATCATTCCCCGACATTAGCTTTACATATCATACTATAAATACATATAAAGCTGCCTACATAATGACATGGGACAAATACATAAATAAATATATAAATATAAAACATAGGAAGGATTGAATGAAATTTCTCCCTTATGAAGAGAGTTCATCAATATACCAGGAATGAAACTCACCACCACTTTAGACTGCAGATTCTGCCCAAAGATGAAGCTATTCCTTGATATGCTTGGACTGAGGGAACTGTGGGGAGAAGACCAAAAATTATTTCTATTGCTATCTACAGCTACCTATTTTACAATATCATGATCTAGCTAACAATGTTTATACTCCCTAGAAATATCCTATAAACCTGACACAATAGTTTAAGAAATACCTAAGCATGATTAACTTTTGATGGGCCTAAAATCTATTTACAGTTTTTCCTGAACATTACAAGATTATTTGTACCCGAGTCCTCTGACTTGGTTACATGGTTTCAGACCAAAACTGTGTTCACCATTTCCTGCAGAGTGGAAGGTTTCTGCATCTATCATTTACATTCCTTGGTGTACCTATTACATATTAAATAAAATGGGTTTCCATGATCATCTCCATTACACATTGCAGTTTTGAATGCCACCAGGTTCTCCCAACTCCCATTACTGCCTCTGACATCAGAGGATTTTAAATTTTTTCCAGTCAATAGCATCTGAATCAGGGGTTTGTTGACCAAGAATTCTTCTTAGAATTGCAAGACATGCTATTAAGAAGTTGCATTCCAAATATTCTGCAGTTGAGCAAAATCCTTGTATACATACAACCTTGTAAATTACATGAAATAAACACGTGCAACATTATTAACTACTACATACACTTAAACATGTGTTTTAACGCAAATGAATGCCTCACTCCTGGCATTTCGAGTTGTGACTGAAGCAGTGTGAACATCACTGCACTGACAAAGAGTACAATTCACACTACCCTTCCCTACACCGACTCAGACCTGGTTTCTCAACACCCTCCAGTTACCTAGCCTCCTATATAGATTACATTCCATTATGTAATGGCCTGTACTATATTTTCTCCTAATTTCTTGACCTACTAGCTCAGCAAGTAAAATAATGCTATGAAAACAGGGCTAGAATTCTTTGTAATTTAATATTACACAACAGTCTAGACCTAAGCTGTGTACCTATTGTGCATCCTGACACGTATATACATCATAGGTCATTACACCATGAAGGCAATAGACGCACTTGTCACTGAGGGGTTAATAATAATGTGCCAAAGGAACACTTAATTAACAATCTTTCACAGTTGTCTTAAAAAAATGACTGATCCACCTATACATAACATTTACTATGTGTCTAATATGAGTATTTTTCTTATTACTGTTTGAGTACAAAGATTTTTAAATAATAATCCATATTCAATATAATCATTTATATAGCTTTTTAACAATGTTACACCTGCATGATAATAATGGATAAAATTCTAAGATGTTCTCAAACTACAGATCCTCATTGCGTGGATATAGTTTTCCTTGCTCCCCAGCTAGTGTTCCTAGGTCTGACCAAAGAGTTAAACGAGGTTTATGTAACCCCAGCTTAATTAGCTGGTGACTGCTAATTCCTAACTTTGAGCTTACAAAGCATTTCATAATGTCGTTGCGATTGGCTGTAAAAATATGGTGGTAGTGTAAATCTCAATTTTTATTAACCCTCCCTTCACTTCAGAGCTCATGACTGAACACAAATATTTACATATGAAAAGAAAAAGGTAAAAAAATGTTCCAATCAATAACTTCTTGTACAAAAACATTTTTCAATTCAAGTGATCATAACAAACTTCAATTAAAAGCTGTGAAGTATACCATTCATGTTTTTACAATATGGTTTTGAAGTAGAAGAAATGCAATGCATCTATCAATTTGCACCAGGAAGAGGTGCTCCAATTCTTTCTGTTTTCTGCTTTTTAAAAAATATGTCAAAGATAAAGTTACCACTGCATCTGAATGCTCAGTTTATACTTACATAACAGGCTACATTAGTAATGCTGTTACTATGATAACAATGCATATCTTACTTGTGAAGGGAGATGCAGTATTTTGCCAAATACTAAAAAACCTTGAGCAGAAAAATGTAGTGGAAATCTTGATCATATAAGAGAATTCTTGCCATTTCTTGTCAATACAAACCCTGCTTAAAATGCCATGATATTCACATTTACATAGAATTCCATTTAACAGACATCTTTTAACAAACTAAAATGTGTGACACATAATCTTTATTACACAAAATATAAAACACTACAGCATGCAACAGCATTCCCATATCCACCCAACCATATGAGAAGACACCCAGAAACACACACTTCCCAGTTGCCCACTCAGATCTACACATCTTTTCTTACTCACTCACTCACTCACTCTTTGTAATGGAAACAATGTAGACAATCTATAAAAACACAGGATATTTTTTTAGGAAGCCTCTGAAGAGCCAATGCATATGGAATGGATGCAGATTAACCACCAAGTAAATGGATGTCATTACATTTGGGGAGAATCAGTGTATGAAAAAGAAAGTGAACAAAGAGATGAAAGAAAAATGTAATGGACAGAAAAAGTGTACAAAGAGTGATATTCTTTTCTTGATGTGCTAATTATCATAGTACACACTATGATATTGTAACATACAGAAAATAAGTATACAGGACTACCAGTTTGTAAATCAATGATAGTGTGCAAGATGGATGGAAATAAATGAACAACTTCTGAATACCTTGAGAGCAGCTGGATCTGAACAGTTTTCTTGATACTCAAGTCAACACTTACCTATCACTGCCTTCTCCATTCCTAGCAAGAGGAACAAACAGGGTTCTTGAATTACTGGTGTT